GAGCACCACGGCCAACAGGCATAGTACCGACTTCAAGCGACTGGTCGATCTACTCGCCGCAAGCGGCCGGATGCTGCCCGGAGTATTCGACACCATAATTATTGCCGAACGATGCGCGCCGCTCGCGCGCTCAGAAGCACTACATGAAACCAATAGCCGTTCTTGCTGTTGACTCTACTCTAGAGGACCAATCTCCCGGGCACGAAGACGGTGATGATGATGCCAAAGGCCAAGAGCACTACAGCTACTGGCGCTGAATGCGCTGCCCTGGATACATCATCTAGGTAGAAGATATCTACTCTACTAGTCTTCGGAATATTTAAATAATTACGGAGCGCTACTTCAGTACTTGTAATCTAATCAGTCGGCCGGCAGCGAACGAGCGAAGCTCTACGAAAAATCGTTTCAGTCATGAACTGACATGACCATGATGACGCGAGTCGTTGCGTAACCTTGAACGCCATGTAGATCTTAGATCTACCATGATGTAGATCTACGTCTGCATCATCATTGCATGGTCTACGCGTAGATCTAGCCTGAGCTGCCTGAGACTGAGTAGATCTACCGGCGGTAGTACTACAGTGCTGGCAACTGAAATCCGACCACCCTAGCCTCTAGTGCGAATCGCTAACGCAGCTAGCGCACCGCGCTAGGAGCTCGGATTTCAGTTGCCAACACTGTAGCTTCTGTAGTCTGTACTGCATGCAGTCTGTTGTACAAAAAGCTGGACCGTGGCCAGTCCATGGACGTGCCATGGCATGGGCATGGCCCAGTGCATCTGCCTGGTGTAGTACTACATGTAGTACTAGTACTAGCAGTAGTAGGTCTACTAGTACTAGTACTACATCATACTACTAGATGTAGTAGATCTGGCCCAGTACTAGTGCTATGTAGTGGGCGAGATCGAGAAGTGAATGCGAACGGAAGCGGATGTGTAGTGCAGATCCGGTGATCATTATGCATAGCGCGGATCGCGGAGTCGTATCCAGACCATAGACCATGATAGACGTCACGGGAAAAGACTTTCTAAAGACTAGCGCTATATTTATAGCGAGTATAGCCGGCATGGCACCTTTGTCCGTTTGGAAGCTAGCCTTCAGCCGTAGCGAATGTCCAGGCCAGGTAGAAACCTAAATTATTATGGCACACTGCGGATAGCATTCTGGTATGAAGAAATGCACTCAGTGTGTACGTGCATTATGCGACTCGCTTGGTAGATCTACAGGCGGTACGGTGGTGCCGGTGAAGCCCGCGAATGTAAGCTCAAGCCTGCCCAAAGAATAGGAATTTCAGAACATATTTCGGAGGACGGATAATAAGCGATTAACACTAACAGTGTAGCGTGTGAACATACAGTCCTGTACATGTTACGATGTATGACGCAAGTTCTGATCTGCAAGCCCTCCTAGTTCCTTCGTCAGCTGGCCCAACTAGGTTGCACTCCACCATGGGTCTGCGCCAACCGCCAGTTTCCACCAGGTTCGGCAAGGGTTGCCTCGCGTTCCGGGGCGCCCAGCTGTGGAACACCTTACCCAGTGACATACATGTACGTGCCATCTCCACGCTCCGCCAGTTCCGCGCCAGCATGATCCCGCACACCCTTAGTACCTAGAGTACCAAACGTCCTGTTTGATGATCAGCTGGCTTAGTTTTTCTCCACCTCTATCCTAATTACATCAGTCCCCAATTTCATTTATTACTGCTTTCTATCTGCATTCGGCACCTTTTCATTGGGCAGATCTGCCCGTTTGGTTTGCGAATTGAAATAAACACAACACACACAACACATTTACATGCACCCCGAGTTTTTGTTGTCGGATATGGAATGCATTATACATGTAGATCAACATGACGATTGTACACCAGAAGTACAATGAAGTATTAGTTGGTCCGCAATCACGAGTTTGAAAGGAAGAAACCAGAGGGCGGGGTGGTTTATTGAACGCACAAAGCTCTCATGATCTGAATGAAAGGAAAGCGAGGAGAGCAAAGAATTCAAAATTGGAACAGCAAAATTGAAGGATGTGATTACTACTCGACGGGTAAAGTACAAGAAACTAACTAGTAATGCTAGTACTTGAATGGTCTCTCTGACTACAAGTACATGTATGAGTTTCTTGTGGCACCAAGTGACCAAGAGCACATAACAAGTGGGTTGGCGGATTCTGCTCGGAACATTTGGGGATTCTGCTTTTTGCTCAGAGTCATCATTCTACATGTACTTTTATTATGCTCAGAAAGGACTGTTATTCTGCGTCCTACTCGTATTGTATGACATACATGTACATGTACAAGATCATCTGTTTCTTGAAAAGCATATCGAAGGCAAACTTTCCTATTTCCATCACCGGCAGTTATGCGTCAACAGGTACTGTACCTCATTCCACTGCTTGTGTGCTCGGCCGTATTTCCGGTTGACGATTGACGGTTGACGATGACATACCCACGGCTGCATGGCCAGCGCCCTGGGGCCGCTGGACGTGCGACCGGATTTCCATGTCCACGACAGTAGTATAATACAACAATGTATGGATTATCCAATGTATGGATTATCCAATGTATGGATTATACAATGTATGGATTATCCAATGTATGGATTATACAATGTATGGATTATCCAATGGATGGATTATACAATGTATGGATTATCCAATGTATGGATTATACAGCGGCATGGTCCTACACATACACGTACATGTACATGCATGTGTATTTATCCCAACTGGGGACGATGTGCTGTTAGCCGCCGAGCTGCCTTGTTCTTGTTTCTCTCCTTCCATTCTGTTCACTACTTGAGGGAATGGAAAAGGGAATTGCGCTATACATGTATTTCTTTTATACACCTGAATTCGTAAGCACACACAGGCTACATGCCCAATATGTTGGAAGCCACAGAATGTGAGAATGGAGTGAAACGTGAGGGATTAGGGAGGAGTAGAAAGGACAATGCTGCATACATGTACATGTACATGTACATCACAAGTTCTGCCCCTTTCCCTTTGATATTGCGGTTGTACACAATGTAGTCATTCACAATTATTATTTTTTCCAGCGCGATCACAGTGTGCCTAACCTCACAATGATAACGTTCCAGCCGACACAACAGCATTACTTTAAATTTTCGCTCGGGAGCAGAAGGTGGAAGATTTACAAAACATTTAATACGTTCCTTGAAATAAAACATTACTAGTGTGTTCAGCAAGACTTCACTTTCTCAACTCCAAAAACGGTCTCTTCACTAGGCATTGTGCGGATATTAAATGCCGGCAGAAAAATCTGCAGAATTCGGTACTTTTTCTGGTAAGTTTCATGCATGTTTGGCATGTGGATAAAGAAATGGAGCAGAATTCGAGGAATTGCCCGCCACAAGGTTTGTATGGTTCTGCCAATATCACTGCTTTTCGAGCAAAATCTGCCACCTTTTCGAGCATTATCCGCCAATGCCTACAGTCTTCACTGCGATTAAAATTAAAATTAAGATTAACACTACACTAGTACGTTCCTTGAAATAAATTTCGCATAGGTACTCAACTGGTTTGAGGGAAAGAGACAAACGGGAAAAGTCTGAAGAAAAAATTGACTGTCACCACCAGGACTCGAACCAGGGACCCTCGCTTGTAGCCAGCGATGCTCTAACCACCGAGCATAGGTACTTGTTTAAATGGTATCCTGTATATCCTGTATATGATGGCGCATCCTACATTGTACATTCAAGTTGAAGTAGAAACGCATTGTGCTATGACGTACTGTAGATCAACAAAATTAATATTCGGCGCACATCTATTTTCTAGAACACGGAGGCTCCACTGCAGCCAACTGCCGTTGTGTAGTGCTGGTGACTTATCATGATGCATCTATTTTCGGCGGGAGCTTTTCGAGGCCCAAAATCTGTTGCGGCCGAATTATTTGGCCCAGGTACAGCGTAATATAATTTACATGTATATACATGTACACACAGTCGGCCCGGGGCCGGGGCAGTACATGCATACATTTTGTGCGGCCGAAAAGCCCTGGGCCGGGACTGGGAGGCTGAAAAATCTGTAGACTTTCAGTAACGTGGACTAGGATAAAAATTGGCAGAATTCGGTACTTTTTCTGGTAAGTTTCATGCATGTTTGGTATGTGGATACAGAAATGCCATTATGGAGCAGAATTCGAGGAGTTGCCCGCCATAAGGTTTGTATGGTTCTGCCAATTTCACTGCTTTTCGAACAGAATATGCCACCTTTTCGAGCATTATCCGCCAATGCCTAACGTGGACCAGCGAAATCCCCAGAAAGCCACCTGGGCATGGTTGTGTACGGCATTGCTGTTCCCAGCGTTCTCACATGCAACTCCTGCATTCCATACTTTAACAATACGCAATGAGCTTGCTTATCGAGAGCAAGCAGCTAATGGAACACCAACGGGTTGGGTGCTATTGCTAGCGACAGTCTAGGGGTGCTATTGCTAGCGCCAGTCTAGGGGTGCTATTGCTAGCGCCAGTCTAGGGGTGCTATTGCTAGCGCCAGTCTAGGGGTGCTATTGCTAGCGCCAGTCTAGGGGTGCTATTGCTAGCGACAGTCTAGGGGTGCTATTGCTAGCGACAGTCTAGGGGTGCTATTGCTAGCGACAGTCTAGGGGTGCTATTGCTAGCGACAGTCTAGGGGTGCTCTTCTCAATCAATGACATACATGTATACGGAGTAGCATCCGAATACTAGTAATCCCATGACACAGTAGAATCCTGACTCTGCGAACGCAGTGCACAGCACCACAATCGGCACACAGTAAAACCTGGTGTAAGCGACCTCTGTGTTTAGCGACCACCTGCTCTTAAGGACCGTTTTTCCATACACTGACAGTTCTACACAGACACTCTGGGACCTGGCGCTAAAGACCACTGGCTTTAACGGCCGCTTTTGCTTGCACTGTGGGGTGGTCGCTTACACCAGGTTTTACTGTAGCTTCCTCGCTCAGAAATAATGACAAGGTTCGCTTGTTGCACTTACTTGAGTGGCTAGGCAAAACATAATAACAAAACATAACAACATTATTAATATCAACATGATGCTAAGGAACATTTTAAACAACATTGGTGATATAACGATGCCGCTGGACGGATATCAGTGGAGAAAGTACTTCGTCCCTAGAGGGAAGCATGCCTTCAGCATCGCGTAGCCAACATATGACACGTTTCCTACGGGCGTGGACAGCAGCAACGAAGTCATTGGCCTGTTCGGCTGTGACTGCACTAAAGTCGTTTAGACGGAGCGACAAAGTTGTCAGCTCCGGCCAGCTCCGAAGAGCAGCGGTAATAGCTGGCAATGACGCGGCCGTCAGACTACAGTTATTCAGAGAGACTCTAGACATGCCTTTGCATTGCCTCAGTGCATGCAAAATGTCTATGACGGCATCATCACCTAGATTGGCATTATAGGACAAATCTATGTTATTTAGGGTTCGAATATTAAACAACTCAGATGCAAAAGCAAATCCAGTAACTTTAGACAAATGGCAATCGCTAAGATCAATATGTTGCAAATCTGGGAGTCGTGAAAGAGCAGAGAAGAACTGAGAAGCTGTAGGTGCATCAGCATCACTGAAGTTGTTGCCGCTCAGCTTCAAGTTCGTCAGATGTTTCCAGTTCTGCAGAGCTGTGGTGAAGACTGGTAGCATCGATGCCGCCATGTGGCAATTCCTAAAGCCAACATTGGATAGATTACTACTTCGGTGAAGTGCACGGAAGATTGCAGCCCCACCATCACTTCCAAGGCTCAAACTGCTCTGCAGTGAGATCTGCTGCAGAGTTGTGAGATTGGACAACGCTCTGGCAAAAGCACCGGCGTTCCCTTTCGTCAGACTCGGAAACTCGAGGTCCAACAAGTAAAGTTTGGGACATGACGAGATTGTTTCTAACAGCGATGCAGAAATCTTAAGATGGTGCAGATGCAGAATGTGTAAATTGCCGGCGGAATGCTGTAAAGCAGAGGTGACAATGTCCAGAATACCTTCCTCAGAGGCACGTCCGAGACTTAACACTCGGATACCACTGCAGTTCGCCAATGATGAGGGGAAGTGAAGCTTGGTGCCAGGAGTCCAAGAATTGATGGAAACAATCTGAACATCATGGGGGTGATGGCGAAGGACAACGTCGATTGAGCGCAGCTCTGCAGGATGATGATCTCCCTCAATATCCAAGGTTTGCGGAAATGATAGTAATTTTCGCATTGACGGCAGTGGGAAACTGTCTCTTCTCCGTTGCATCGCCAGCTCGGCGAAGGATTGAAAGGCAAGGCTCCTAAGATGTTTTCGCCGGTCTAAACGCATCTCTGAATATCCAGGAATATTTGGTGACTGAACGAAATCCCAACTATTGAAACGTGATTTGTATTGCTGAAAGTCGTGCTTAACCCAGTCTCCTTTTATTCTCATCCCTTGAGGATTCTGTAGCGTAAGTAAAGAGTTCACGAAGCATTCGGCTTGTTCTGCATTAAGCTGGGCGCAAAGCATAGTCCAGAATGTTCTCAAGTGTGCTGTTTCTGCACCAAGTCTTTCTACCAGTTGAATAATCCTGGAACTGTTCATGATGTCACGTGTGGGGTGTCTGGCAAGGTAGATTGCTGCTAGGTACTCCTGAGTGGTCAGATGGCTGAACCGATGTTGCTTGAAAACATTGCTTGACAAAGACTCCTCGCCTGTCACTAATAAGCCTAGTTTGAAGGCATGTTCACTGAGAGAATGCTTCTGGAGATCGACATCACTGAAAATCATCTGTTTATTGGCAAGCATTTTGAAGGCGAACTGTCCTATTTCCATCACCAGCAGTTGTGCCTCAACAGGTACCTCATTCCAATTCTTGTATGCTTGGCCGTATTTCCGGTTGATAATCTGCACAATCATTTGCTCAAACATGTCCGTCATGCACTGTGGCGCATCCAAGCCAAAGTGGTACTGCACGCACACTTCCTGAGCCATGAATGGGGTTGCCATCATGCCACGCAGATATGCTGACCGGCCAACCTCTGCGACCAGTGTCCCTGCTTTTTCCGGGCTTAGCACGTTACGGATATACTTCTCCACATCATCTTGTTTGAATCCCATTAGCTCGATGTGCTGGTGGAAGTGAGGTAATACTGACAACTGGAAGATGTCAGCACATGGTCGAGATGTTACTATGAGATGAATACCCTGCAGCTCCTTGCCAAACAGTACATCATAGACAAAACTGCTCATGTCTTTCAGGTTCACCTCATCAAGACCATCTAGAATTAGCACTAGACTCTCAGGGTGTTCACGAACATGATCACAGATCTCCAGCTGGCCATAACTGTCTTCGATACCAATGCCGTCTAGTCCAAGTAGCTTACTCAGGGATGTAGCCTTGTGCACGTCTGGGAAACGCAACTCTCTTGCAACGAGCAGCTTCTTGTTAGGCCACAGTTCACCGGCTGCCCATTTGATCGGCGCTACCCTCGTAAAAACAAACGACTTCCCGCACCCAGCACTAGCCATGACTATCGTGCCGAGAGTCTGACCTGTGGGATACGGTGATTGATCATGATGGGTGCTGTTTAGAAGAGACTCCAAGTAAACACTTTGCATTTTCTGGCTTGCGCGAGTGAAGGCATGCTCGGTCCGCCACATGTCGTCGGAGCTGGATTCAAATCCATTTTCGAACTCGTCGCTTAGATTTTTCTTTGGCAGCATGACAAGGTTGATGTAGATGTTCTCGACAGTGTTTCCCGTGCTCGCTCCAAACACCTGTGAGAAGATTTTATTGGTCTTGGTGTAGCGAATCTTCAGTAGCCTTTCCACACGGCCCATATCAGGTGAAACTGAAACCAGAACACGATACAAGAAAAGAAATTCCAAAAGATAAATATGTTACAAAATCGACCCGGATTCTTAAATCAGACACTTACGACTTGCTAATTTGCTCAACGCTGACCCGCTCCACTTGCACATCACCACCCTAGCGAGGAGAGTTCCATTGAGATTTAGATATTGTACACCCTCCAGACACATCAATGGTACTCACTACTCACACAGAACTTGGTGTTTCCCTCAGTATGGTGATGGTGATGGAAGAAGAGTGGAAGGTGGATAAATAACTCATACTAACGTTACGTACCGTATTTCAGGAGTATAAACCGCACTTTAAACACCAGGATATCACCCAAGGTGCGGCATATACTACAATGGTCAAAATTGCGGTGATAAACATGGTGGATGTCTGTGTTTCATGACAAACAATCTGGGTGCGCCCTATACTCTGGAAGATATGGTTGTAAAAACACACCCAGGCCATCTTCTAGTGCTGCACTGTCTTAAACATAGATTTAACCTACATCTTCCACAATCTAACGAGTTACTGGCATGTCTGGCTATTGCCCCCTCCCTCCATTTTATTACTGGCCTCTTTTCCTTGGCCATGGGAAGGTGACCTAAATCAATAAAATTAATGTGCACAGAGAGGACTTAACCTACTTCGTATATTACAGGTAGACTCCCTTTAATTCGAACCTCAAATTGCCAGGCCCCAACTTCGAATAAATAATATTTGCGGGATCCGCGTCGGCATCGCTTGAATGTTCAGAAACACACAAACTAGCCTTCGCATCCGCAGGCCACCACTATGCCTGTTCACCTTAGTGGCGAATGCAGACCTCACAAGCGAGTCAGGGGAGAGGAGGTTAGTCTCTCAACCAATCGGGCGTGTAACGGCCCATAACCCTGAAAACTGCATCCTTGTTATTCTCACTCCGAGCTGTGAGCAAATTATTAGGAACTTCTAATTATCCAAATGCATCCCCATGCACTGATATGTATGTCAAAATGCTTGAAATCGCATGCTGATTATTTTAGCATATTTAAAATTCGCATCAACGAAATGTAGGTGGTCATGTACAATGGACCAGGCCATTTTATAAAAAAATCACTGGATCGACACAAAGCTATTTGACATGATTATCTTGATCATCTAGTGAAGAAGTTGTCTGGCACTGCAGCTGTCCTGAAACAATTTCAACGGAAAGAACAGCGCCGCCTAATCCGCGTCATGAAAGGCCATCGGAGAGCAGCACGTTGTTCTGAGGAACGGAAGTGGAGCATAGGCATAGACGACTTTTACGACTTCCAGTCAAGAGTACTGTTGTTCGCAAACATCTCTGCGCACGAGCTGGTGCGGTGTGAAAGGCCACTGAGATCTGCGAACGGAGTCAGCCACCTGGAAGAAGTCGTCTTCAATCAAATCTTTGCACTTTGCCTCGTACGGGCTTGAATGATATTTCGAGAGAAGGTGGGTTACTTGAACGCTACTGTCGATCCTGGAGCGGACCAGAGATTGGTTTTTGAGCTACTAGAGAAGGAGAAGAGAATGAACTTCGAATTACAATTGGGGGTGAAACGAATACGAATATTGACAATCCAAATATCCTTTCTGTTAAAGGGGAAGTTAAGGCAAAAATTAAAATTTCACCAGTTGTAGTCTTCGGGGTGCTGAGTCGAATGGTCGTGGTCCGAGGAAGCTGAGACGCTCCCTTCCTACTTGAATCCCAATCGAACTCGCGCACTTCCACCGAAAGTGGGTGACTGCGCCCTACTAGATGGGGATTTGTATGCAAAATGTCACTAAAAGCGTCATTTTGTTCTTATAAAAGCACGGATTACCGCGATTGGCCCATATGTTGTACTCTTTTGGACGCTGAGTCGACTGGTTTTGGTCCGAAAAGGCTGCGATGCAGCGTTCCTCCTTTATTCCCAATCGAACATGGTTGAACAAGCGGTCACGTGCTCCTGGGTGCCAAAATCACCTGGTCACCGCGCCATCAGGCGACAACTTTCACACCAAGGTTCAACTCGAGTGACAGGACTGCACCCAAAAAAGGTCAAACAGGCTAGTAAGTTGTACCCTGCAGGCACGGTGACCAGGTGACTGGTGTACGCAGGAGCACGTGACCGCTTGTTCAACCATGTTCGATTGGGAATAAAGGAGGAGCGCTGCATCGCAGCCTTTTCGGACCAAAACCAGTCGACTCAGCGTCCAAAAGACAACAACATATGGGCCAATCGTGGTCATCCGTGCTTTTACAAGAACGAAATGGCGCTTTTAGTGACATTTTGCATACAAATCCCCATCTAGTAGGGCGCAGTCACCCAGTTTCGGTGGAAGTACGCGAGTTCGATTGGGATTCAAGGAGGAAGGGAGCGTCTCAGCTTCCTTGGACCACGACCATTCGACTCAGCACCCCGAAGACTACAACTGATGATATTTTAATTTTTGCCTTAACTTCCCTGTAACGAACGAACGAATATTTGTTCGTTTGGCCGGGAAGTGTTTTTTTTGTGCCCCATTGGCACGCAAAGCGCGCTGATCTTGTCACTTGTCACCGCTTGAGATCGACGATTTTTTTTTTTTTTTTTTTTTTGAATGCAGAGTACGGGGCAGTTGTGACTTTTTGAGCTCTGCAAATTTTCAAGCCCAACCGGCACTAGGCCGGTCTGGAGGTAGGCATAACAGGCCCCTTGATGTGACAATGTCGTCTGAGGAGTCACCCACCGCACCAGCAGATGTAGACCTTGCTGTGATGGACAATCAGGAGATCCGGCATCTCGCCAAGAGTCACAGACTGGAACACTCGGGACTTTCCCGTACCCAGATAGTCAAGCTTCTTCGCGACAACGGTATTGGTTCGTCGACAAACTCAGCAGGTCAGTCTGACAAGGTGCGCGATGTTGTTCAGCAGGCATTGGCCGATATTGCAAAAAATGTTAAAGAATTGGCCGCCAAGGTAGCCCTAATTTCTGCCTTGCAGTTGGAGGTGTCGTCCCTTCGAGGAGAATTGGCGGCTCTCAAAGAAAGGAACTCTGATCATGACCCTGTACAAACTAGCACACCTGAACCTCAACCCGTACGTGTACAACCGCCTGCTGACAGCGTCAGGTTGTACAGCGCGGCGGCACGTGCACAGTCGTCACAGGTGCGAGCACGGGATAACACATGGGGAGGCCCCAGCCAGCAGGCCAGTACTACACGACCCCAAACAAGTCACCCAGGCACTCAGGTCACGTCGTACTATGAAAACCGGCCCAAGCGCTCTGATCAACTACAGGGAGGATCCCGCACAAAATGTTGCGCTTTGTATGTAGGCAATGTCAATAGTGGGTGCACATCAGAATCGATCGCCAAATGGTGTGAACGCCGAAATATACCTGTCATCAAGTGCTCCGTGTCTGAGACAAAGTACTTCGGGTTGGCCTTTGCTCACGTAATTCTGCCAATACAACACAAAGCTACTGTTCTGGAACCCGAATTCTGGCCTTCAAACGTCAGAGTTCGAGAATGGCGCTTCAAGGCTGACAGTGTAGCAACTGGTCGAGCTGCAGAGGAGCACTAAATGTTCTGTTTAAATCCTCACGCAGCCCCCTTTCAACCCTTGAACCCTCATGCACCTATCTTTCAGCCACAAAATAGTTGCCCCACTGTAAATCCCCTACAGCATGAATTAATTAAAAGTAACCTCAAAATAGGATTCCTAAATGTTTGCCATCTTCTCAATAAAAAGCATGACATTGAAGATTATATTCTTTCCCATAAAGTTGATATAATGATGCTGGCAGAGACTTTCTTAACAACCTCCGTTTCCGATGACATCCTACGCATACAGAATTACACCCTGGTCAGACGCGACAGGCCAACTCATGGCGGAGGCTTAGCAGCATATGTAAGAGATCATCTCCGAGCCCGAATTGTGAAGGCTGACACCCAGGTGGAAATGCTCATGTTAGAGGTCAGTGGGCAGCGTTCCAAGGTTCTCCTTGGTGGTGTGTACCGTCCTCCAGGCACTCCTGTGCAATTCTGGCAAGAATTGACGAATGCACTAGACACTGTCATCTCCACACTTCCCACATCACCTCTGGTCCTTGTTGGAGACTTCAATGTCGATGTAAGCTCCCGCGACAGCCCCCAGCTAAACAGCTTGCTGCACCTGTGTAATTCTTTCGACATCAAGAACCAAGTGGACAGTCCTACCAGAATTGGACCCCAAGGCAGCCAAACAACCCTGGATCTCGCTCTGGTCGGAGACGATCATGTGAACTCTTGTGTCGTAGTACCTTGTACAATCAGTGACCACTTCGCTCTGGCACTTGATTTGCGACTCACAACGTCCTGCACACCGACCGTGCGACGTGGCCGTAACATTGCAAGAATTGATATGGGTCAATTTGCACACCACCTTCTAAATAGCGATCTAGAGAACTTCTGCTTTGCGCGGACAGAAGATGAAATGTGGGATATGTGGCTGGAGAAACTTGTCGCGGCCTTGAACACTCATGCTCCTATCCGTCTACACCGCCCAAGAGCTCCTACCCGGAAATCCTTCCCCTGGAAGACGCCAGCTCTACATGACCTAGTCCAGCGACGTGACGCGGCCCATCGACGGTGGAAAGCATCACCTGCAGACCCGGCACTACGCAATGTCTTCACTTCTGCCCGAGACGAAGCCAAGCGTATGTCACGACATCTCCGAGCCATCTACTTTAGGGACCTTCTTGCTGCTAGTCAGGCCAACGCACGAAAAACCTGGCAGACCATCAACTACCTCAGCGGTCGTAACAAGTCCTCAGTTCCACCAGCCGTCAGTGTCTCACAGCTCAGTGACCAATTCAGCGGTGTTGTGTCAGACCCAACTAGACCACTACGTCTCTCAGCCCCATTGGGTCCCACGAAGAAGGAATGCCTCGAAGAATTTGCTCCAGCAAGTGTGCAAGAGATCGCTAAGCTGCTCTCCAACATCGACGTGCGCAAAGCTGCAGGCAGCGACCAGGTTCCAGCTGCAATCCTCAAACACTGTTCTCCTGTCCTTGCACCGTCCCTCACCATACTAATCAATGCATCTCTGGCTTCTGGTGTTGTTCCTGCATCTCTGAAGATTGCGGATGTTCGTCCCCTCTTCAAGTCAGGCGACAAAGCTGTCGCTAAGAACTATAGACCAATATCGTTATTACCAATAGTTTCCAAAGTCCTAGAACGGGTAGTCCACACGAGACTCTGTAAGTTCCTCTCCGGAAATTCCTTGTTCCCCGCAAACCAGTTCGCATATCGCCCACTTCACTCCACAGAAGATGCCCTGACATTGGCTGTAGACAGATACTTGGAGGCAGCGGATCAGCAGCGCCATACAGGTCTTGTACTTGTCGATATGAGCAAGGCCTTCGATAAGGTCAAACACCAAATTTTGGTTACAGATCTATTTCAGCTTGGTATTACCTCAACGGCTCTCAGTTGGTTCATGAGCTACCTAACTGACCGCCGTCAGCGAGTCGTCCTGAGCAATGGCCAGTCGTCCGCCCTCTCTCCCTGTGAGTGTGGTGTTCCTCAGGGAAGTGTGCTGGGTCCTCTTTTGTTCTCCATCTACACAATGGAAATATAACAGATCACAGCTCCAGCCCACTCACAGCTGTTTGCTGATGATATCCTGCTAGACGCCATCAGTCAATCCGTCGAATTCTTGAATTTAACCCTCTCCCGTTCAGTCTCCAACCTGGCCAACTTTCTGGAAGAAAGCGGCTTAATACTAAATCCCTCCAAAACCCACGTTCTAGCCCTTCATGCGTCTCGCAGGCAGCCCTTGTTACTTAACATAGAATGCAATGGAAATCCCCTAGCTCAGACCACAAATGCTCGATATCTAGGTCTACATCTCGACACCCAGCTTCGGTGGGAGACTCAAGTTGCAACTATTACACGGAAGACCTCCCAGAAACTGACGGCGCTGCGAGCCATTCGCTCCTGCTTAACTGAGCAACAAGCCCTGCTATTTTACAGATCTTTAATACTACCGGACATGTTGTATGGATCTAATGCCTTCTTCTCGGTTCTCTCTGCGCACCAACGGCATCAGCTTTCGGTCCTCGACAAGCGATGTATCCGCTGCGTTGCCAACCAGCCATTCCCCTCCCACACAGATCCCATCTACACCCGTCTAGGCCTCATCCCCATCATCCAAAACGCCCACTGTAAACTCCGCCTCCTCATGCTTCGTATCCACACCGCCAGAATTAGTAATCTCCTGTCCAAGCGCCTACGTCGCCAGACTGAAGGCGTCACTCGGATCAACGATCCAAATGCGTATGTTGTCCCTGCCACCAGGCGAGTCTCTGGTGACTGTCGGCCGCTCGTTTCTGCTGTTAAATTATGGAACGCCCTGCCCCAAGAGTTCAAGTCCCTCGCCTGCCATAGATCGTTCAAGAGACTTTTAAAGGTTTATTTTTATGGTTAGCCAGCATCTAGGCTTGGACTTGGAGTCGTCTGTTAAATTATGGAACGCCCTGCCCCAAGAGTTCAAGTCCCTCGCCTGCCATAGATCGTTCAAGAGACTTTTAAAGGTTTATTTTTATGGTTAGCCAGCATCTAGGCTTGGACTTGGAGTCGTGACTCAACTGTGACTCAACTGTGCTTTCTTCTTCTTTATTTTTCTTTTTTTCCCTTTCTCTTTTTTCTTTTTGAGTATTTGCAGTCTGTGTTTTCTGTGTTTTTCTCTCTTTCGTGGAGGCTTGCTTGTTGTATCCTTGGCTCTCGGCCGTTACTTTATCGCCATCATAATACAGGGCACCATTGCCCGTTTGGTCTTCGATACAAAATAAAATTTCAACAACAACAACAACAACAACAATGGCTACTGAGCGGCGCGGCGATCCATTGTTCAAGGTCGTCGGGCTTCTGCCCGACGATGCTCTTCTGCTCAATACTCACTGCGAGGAATTATTTTACGCTGCAGGGATCATGCGAGATGATGCGACTGAGTTGGGTCAAGATTAAGACGATGATCAAACGATCACTCTGACATTGATGCGCTGCCACTGAGCCATGATGAAAAGAATCTCAATGAGGCTGAATCGGTGGCAGAGACTGCGACCAACACCAGTACAGCAGCAGGAATGCAGAGAAAGCAAAGGCCCTTCCAGCCAACGACGCCAGAGTATGTAGCAGAGCGCCGTGTGAAAGTATTCGTATTCGTTCGTCGTATAAACGAATATTTGTTCGGTTGAGCTTATCGAACGAACATTCGAATATTCGGAATATTCATTTCACCCCTAATTACAATTATAGCATTTCCATTTCACTTCGAAATAAGCGTTCGAATGACATAGTCACTGTACTGTAAACTGCTCTTCTGTACGAAGACTGAGTTCGAATTATCCAGTCGGAGCACGTTTCGTACTTCGAATTGCGCATTGGAATTTGACTTGAAGCGACTTGCAGGAGAGAGGTACAACGAAAAAGTTCGAATTACACCGTATTCGAATTAGAGGGAGTATACCTTTAATACTATGATGTGTATAGATAGAATCTTCTATTCCGTCCGTTCAAAACACACCACTCTATCTGTATCACCTGGCTAACTTCTTCACCTACATTCCCTAGCACCGCGGGTATCATGATCACTTTCTTGCTGTGAACATTCGCACAAAAATTACCCGAGAAAACCCAATCACTCCATACTAGACTGTTTTCACAGCCATTTATGCTCTCTCGACTGTCTTCACAGCCATGTTTGCTCTCTCGACGGTTTTCACAGCCATTTTTGCTCGTTGTTCTTCCGGTGCTGTTGAGGTTGCACTCGTAATTGTGTTTATTTTGCCCATGCAAGAGGCTTGGATATATCAGGCAAAAAAAAAAGAAAACCCAATCATGACTGCACACTAGTAGTACCATGAAGGTTTTGAAATTATTATTCTCTTTCTACACTCATACGTCGGTTATCCGGACCCAGAAGTTACGGGCACTTCGGTCCACCTGGTACCTTTTCGGCGAGTTTCAGTGGAGATATTACTACTCTTTTGTCACTTTTGTGGAAATGGTTACAGTAAAATCTGATTTAAGCGGCCACTCCACGGTGCAAGCAAAAACGGTCGTTAAAGCCAGGTGGTCTTTAGAACCAGGTCCAACAGTTTCAGTGTAGAACTGTCCGTGCATGGAAAAATGGTCGTCAAGCGCAGGCGGTCGCTAAAACCAGAGGTCGCTTACACCAGGTTTTACTGTATGTCAAATGCCATATCTATGGCCTTTTCCCATCAAAATATACGTGATTCGGAGTTGTGGACATTTCAAAGTTACGGGCAGTGTCCAGTCCGGGACCGCACGGATAAACGAGGTCTGAGTGTATTTAAGTTATTGTTAGACATGTATGAGAACTTATGGTTGATCAATATGGTGGTAAATACTCACCTGGCAATTTGACGGTAAATACACGTCTGCCCACACACGCTCTCTAAACTGCAGTCAAGCTCCGTGTGAAGACATCCAAGAAGAAGATTGCCTGATGAGTCCAGCGGGGACGAAAGGTACACTGCAATCGAGCTATGTCGTTGCTGTGTCATCTGCTATGTGCCATGCGCTATGCCTGATGTACCAGCCTGCTATGTTGGATACCGCTAACCATGCATCGACCAGGCGCCAGGCGTGGTGGTGGTGGTGGTGAGAAGGAGAGCTCTGTGCCAGAATAACTTTGCGGTTCAGAGAGCGTGTGTGGGCAGGCGTGTAACTGTTATGGACTGCCATAATGCCAGGTGTGCATTTACCACCATATATATTAATCAACCATACGTTCAGCTGCAGTGGAGTCTTCAACTTCATTGTATGAGAACTGCTTGGAAAATATATTGCACAACTGATTGCCTTGACAGCCTGTCCTCGTTTGAGCACCTCGCGTGTGCAAGTAGCAACTATTACCTACATAAGTATTAAACTGAGACGACGTGCACCGAAAGGTTCAGAGTTGCAAATGTAGGACACTTTGTTGACTGCACAGATGCACATAGACTAGATCTTACCTGGTGAGCTGAAACCGTAGTAGACACTGATGACAGCAATGATAAGAACACTCAGCCCCGCCACCATTGCAAGGAATGGTACGGGCCTCTGAGCCAGTACTGTCACTGGTTCAACTGATGAGGATGGTTCATGCTCCACAGCCGTTTCATTCCTCTCTTCTGCTCCATGACCCTCTTCTTCTCCGTGGCAATCTTCTTCAAGCGCCTCTGCTGTTCTATGAGTCACTGCTGCAGTGCACACACATGCACACACAGACACACACCCAAGGGCATTTTAGTGGACACACACACACACGCACATCCCCCGCATACACACATACATGTAAACACATAAACACACACACACCGTGACACACACACATGCTCACACACACGCACGCACGCACGCACGCACGCACGCACGCACGCACGCACGCACGCACGCACGCACGCACGCACGCACGCACGCACGCACGCACGCACGCACGCACGCACGCACGCACGCACGCACGCACGCACGCACGCACGCACGCACGCACGCACGCACGCACGCACGCACGCACGCACGCACGCACGCACGCACGCACGCACGCACGCACGCACGCACGCACGCACGCACGCACGCACGCACGCACGCACGCACGCACGCACGCACGCACGCACGCACGCACGCACGCACGCACACACACACACACACACACACACACACACACACACACACACACACACACACACACCTCAGACCTCAGACATGCCCATCGCGGGAGCGATGATAGCGAACAGCTATGTTAGACATAGCAACTTGTGCTGGGATTACACCATTCAACAGCTTGCAAGGCTGATGAATTGACCGCCACTATTTTTAGCCTGGTATCCACCACACAGCTGTTTGAAGTGACTTTTTCTGGCCACACACACACACACACACACACACATGCTCACACACGCACAAAATTATAGTTCAAAATCTTGAAATTAACAATGTATATAGTGGGCCTATTCGGCATGGACACTGATGGGAGGTGAGAAAAACAATTGTCGGTGCACGGGGAGGGAGGGAGGCAAAAATAAGGTGGAAAAAACCTGCAAAGAGCAAGACTGGGATAGACTATGAGGCCTGATAGAACTGAATCCTTTCCCCTCACCATTTCCATCTGTACTCTGCAACCCTGGTCTGCCATCACTATCGTCATTGCCACGGCCCACACCTGTTCGGGCTCGTCGCCGTACGCCTGTAGTTTCCATGTCAACTGAGCTGGGTAAATCTGTGAGAGAATGTAGAAGGAGAGAAGAATGTAACAATATCATATGAACAAACGGGAGCCACCAAATCTTTGCATGGATGTGGGATGGGGGGGGGGGGGGGTAAAGTTAACAATTCGCCTAAAATCAAATTTTAACCAGTTATAGTCTTCGGGGTGCTGAGTCGAATGGTCTTGGTCCGAGGAAGCTGAGACGCTCCCTGCCTCCTATATTCCCAATCGAACTCGCGCACTTCCACCGAAACTGGGTGACTGCGCCCTACTAGATGAGGTTTGTATGCAAAATGTCACTAAAAGCGCCATTTCGTTCTTATAAAAGCATGGATGACCGCGATTGGCCCATATGTTGTAGTCTTTTGGACACTGAGTCGACTGGTTTTGGTCCGAAAAGGCTGCGATGCAGCGTTCCTCCTTTATTGCCAATCGAAGATGGTTGAACAAGCGGTCACGTGCTCCTGGGTGCTCAAATCACCTGGTCACCGCGCCAGCAGGCGACAACTTTCACACCAAGGTTTAACTGGAGTGACAGGACTGCACCCAAAAAAGGTCAAACAGGCTAGTAAGTTGTACCCTGCAGGCACGGTGACCAGGTGACTGGTGTACGCAGGAGCACGTGACCGCTTGTTCAACCATGTTCGATTGGGAATAAAGGAGGAACGCTGCATCGCAGCCTTTTCGGACCAAAACCAGTCGACTCAGCGTCCAAAAGACTACAACATACATGTATGGGCCAATCGCGGTCAGCTGTGCTTTTATAAGAACGACATGGCGCTTTTAGTGACATTTTGCATACAAATCCCCATCTAGTAGGGTGCAGTCATCCAGAAGTGCGCGAGTTCGATTGGGAAAAAAGAAGGAAGGGAGCGTCTCAGCTTCCTTTGACCAAGACCATTCGACTCAGCACCCCGGAGACCGTACAACTGGTGAAAATTTGATTTTAGCCATAACTTCCCCTTTAAATTATCGGAATGCATTACGTGATCCTCTATTTAGATGCCTAGTGTTGACCCATCCGGTTGGATTTCATTGGAAGATGCGTTAGGGACAGACATAGGTCTCTGCATAGAGCAAAAGGAATATGTAAACCATATTCATCCAGACAGTCAATATTAAGCAATAATAGTGGAACTTGCCTAGGCATGGTCGATCCTTCTCTCGTAGCTGGCTCAACATCTGACGCGCACGGGTGTGGAAGCCCATTTCGGCAACGACGTGACACAAGCGTTTGTATCCATTCAGTTCATCGGCCGAGATGATCTGAATCAGCTTCTTGTTGTGCGCCACCGGACCTTCGCGTTTCAGAATGTTTTCCAGGCTTGCGACGATGGCGAAAGTGCGCAGCAGCTGGTTTTGCTGTGCCGCCTCCCTGAGCATGTCGGCATCCACAGTCAGCAGCCACGGATGTATGTCAGCAATGAACTCGGGCGAGTCAAATAGACTACCTGTAACAGCTAAAACAACACACACGCATGCACGCACACACAGAGGCAGAGAGAAAAAACATTTAATAAAAAAATTAGTCAACTGGACAAAATCTACTCTGCTCTGGGGAGCTACTTATTCCATATATGGAGTTGCTGGATACGAACAATGGAAACCCTGCACCATCATCAAAGAAAGTTGTCCTTGTGGTGCAGATCTGTACAAATCTCAAACAAATCTTCTGCCAGGATTATGGTTTCTGGCCGAAGGATTTGATTGCAATCGAAATCGTAAGGATTTGTAGCAAAGAAACTACTTGCGTCGGTGATGGTGTAGGATTTCCCATGTTATGTAGTGACTGCAGTGTAGATTGGAGAACAGAAATGCTCTCGATACTACATGCAATGGAGAATATCCGTTGTCTCCTGACAGTGGAAATGTCTCAAGTACTGTAGTGGACATTGGAATCCGTCGAGAAGTCAAGCAGCCACGGGGCGCAGCCCCTGCAGAGCACTGCTGCTGGTCCATGTGTTACACTGTGAACGTGAACTGCAGTGCATACACCTGGTACACGCTAAATGCAGTAAGGGCATCCCATCAGATTTCAACGTCCACGACAGTTGCAGCAGTTCAATCACTATAGAAATTAGCCAAAAAAGAGAGGAAAAAGACCTGCTGAAGCACCATCACTACCGCATGTACCATTGACATATCAACTTATATCTCGGCCCCACAGCTCTCGATGGCACCACTGCAGCTATTAGCTGCTATAACAGCACCCAGGGGCAGCACCAAATAAAGCATCAAAGGAATGCTTCAAGAATTGCGACACAAATAGAACCAGTAACTTCAGTTTTGGAAAGTTAAACCCAGGCACCAGGTGTGTACCAGGTAGTCATAGCAACTAGGGAACCAAAGTGTAAGCATAGAGTCCGAAACGCTGTCTGTCTCAACACTGGATTTCGGAGCTCTGCGTGATCCGAGATCACTGCATGACCTCATCACAATCGCTTCCTTGACCCCCAAACTCAATCGGCATCAGCGATGCTGTGTGCGAGCGTGCTCTAAACCAGTCCTGTCCCAAGGGCGACTCGATACGCCAGCTCTGAAGCGGAAACCACATAGTTTTTGTTCTTGTTGCCCGTATCGTCTCTTGCGATGCTATGACTCCCTAACGTATACCATATTTTCCGGAGTGTAAGCCGCACTGGAGCAGCATCCAGATTTTGTTACGGTAACGAAACACAGACATCTTCCCTACTTGTCACCGTTCCTTCGACAATTGTAACATAAACCGCAATGGCCTTTTTGGGGTGAATTGCTTGTATTTTAAAAGAGCTTGGGGGACTGTTAGTCATAACTCGTAACTTACCGGTCCTTTCTTCTTTCTTGATCAAATTAATTGTGATAAATAGGTTGTATCCGCGTCGATTATTCGCATATTTTAAACGGAGATATTCTAGGAGTCAGGTTGAAATCCTGAGTTCTCTTTATTGCCATCATAAAATTGTTGTGTCCGCGTTGATTATTTGAATAGGATAGATATCTGTATGTCGTGGCCAAAAATGGGGGTGCGGCATATACTCCGAACAATACTGTAATAAAAAAGAGAGTGAATATTAGCAGTAGCGATTAACTCACCAGGCACGATCTTGTTTCCCATCTTCGTGCCCTGGTCAGGAGATATCTCCGTGGAGAATGTCCTACACAACAGCTGCAACAAAACGCAGTGAACAGAGCAGAAAATGAACTGCACAATGCCTTGAAATACAGTAGCATTACTCCTACACATACATTTACATGTATGTACTTCCCCTCCGCCCCCCCCCCCCCCACACACACAAGCACATGTACACGTGCACACACATACATACAGAAACGTACACACACACCGAGACACCATTGGACCATTGGACGCCCATCGCCGGAGGCGATGATAGCGATGCTACGGCAGAAGCCATAGCAGCTTGTGCTGGGATTGCACCATTCAACAGCTTGCAAGGCTGAAGAATTGACCGCTACTATTCAGCCTGGTATACAGTCAACTTCGCTTATAACGACACTCGGCGGGGCATCAGAAAAGTGTCCTTATTCACGAAGTGTCGTTATACCCGAAGTCTCATTATATGTGTCACAGTTGGATGGGACTTTGCTCCGGGCATGAAAATTATGTCGTTATTCGCGAATGGTCGTTATATCCGCAGTCGTTATTAGCGAAGTTGACTGTACACCACACAGCTATGAAGTGGCTTTTTTTGGCCAGTGAATCCCTACTTTTTGGTCTTTTTTTTTTTCCCCGCACACACACATCACACCACATACTCCGGCATGCACTGGCTCTTGGTAACCACCCAGGAGAATAAAAGAAAAGTCAGGAACACACATGCGCAGACACACACCTCAGACCTCAAGCCTGCCCATCGCGGAAGCGATGATCGCGAACAGCTATGCTAATTAGACATAGCAACTTATGCTGGGATTACACCATTCAACAGCTTGCAAGGCTGATGTATTGGCCACCACTAATTTTAGTCTGGTATACACCACACACACACACACACACACACACACACACACACACACACACACACACACACACACACACACACACACACACACACACACACACACACTCAGACAAACAGACACACAGGCACACAAACACACGAACACAGAAACACAGACACACAGGGACACACATACACACACAGACACACATATACACACACACCCCACACACACAACACACTTGTTGCTCACTGCCAAAACTGGTCACGTGGGTCTCCCCGGGAGAGGGGAGAGAGACTTACAAGGAATCTTGGAAAGATGGCTCAACTGGCTATTGAACCGCCCAACGGCCAACACCCCCTGAAATCCCCAAAACTCTGGGTGGAATTAAAAATGATCCCACTTATGGGCTCACCACACCCCAGTAGTGGGTGAGGGCAAGGTGCAGAAAAAGGATTGACGGCATCAGGGTATCCGTCCCGGGATCCAACTGCAGTTACCCCTACCCCCAGTGAAGGTAATACTTGCTACTAGTGTGGGTGGCTAAATCAGAGTGGATCTGATATAAGCGTCACTAGCACCATTGATTACACAAGAGTTCATCTAGCCAGAAGCAGTCCATGGTTAACAGGTATGTATACTTCAAATAGAAAGTATATGAAGTTATGAACCCTGAGACCAACAAAGGTGGCAGATACAACAATACACACACCCCACACCCCCCACACCCCCCACACACACGCATACATGTGTCCTGCGGACACTTCTCTCCATATTTCAGAACACATACGCTAAAACTGGTAGGCTGTTGTTAAATACACGGCTTTATTGCCTACCCTATGCAACACATGTAACGTACATGTAGTAGCGTCAGACCTAGCCAGGGTTCACAGCCCTCTACACGTACGGTACTGGGCAGTGAAATCCAACCTCATGAATAAAATAGCGCCGGACGATACGCAGCCCTAGCACTCCACACACTGTTCGGTGCACCTGAGCGTGGTGCTACTTTATGGATAGGGTTGGATTTCTCTGCCAAGAACTGTATTTTGTACGGTCAGACCTCGCTTAGCTGGTCCTCGTTTATCCGGATCCCTCGCCATCCGGAAGAAAATCTTTGGCTACTGATTTACAGCATATGCCATGCACACACACACAGAGTATGTGTGTCCGATTACCCGGTTCCTTCGTCTATCCGGATTTTTCTGGAAAACGGATGTGTGCGGTTATGGGAGGTGTGACTGTAGTATCTTTGGGTGGGTGCGTTCGAGGGAAGGGGGGGGGGGGCAGATTATCACCATTATGACTGACCGGCTGTTGCGCGCGAGATGTGCAAAAAAAGAAAGAAAGAAAAGAAGTTGATTACGTACCAGCTAGCAGGCCGTAGGGTGGCAGACTGTTTCATGTACAACCAGTGTTACCTGAGTGATCATCAACAGCTCTTGTCCAGTGCGTGTATTTGTGTGAAGAGAGAGCTGCCAGATCAGGGGCCTCTCTATGATTTTTCCTTGCCTAGGTCATCATGCATTTTACAAGTGTTCAAACTAACGGGAATGTATTTGCAAAACAATAAGATGTTCCCGCTATCCTCCGTATTACAAGTACAACAGACGTTTCCTTCAGTTTGAACATTACGTACAATGAGCCAGCCAAGCATAGCGAGAGTCCCCCCCCCCCCCCCCCCCCCGCCTCGCCCACCACGCCAGTAATAATTATTATTAGTTTTGTAAAATGCGTTGTCCGTAGTGCCCTAGATAAAGAACAAAACGTAGGGAGGAGGGTCGTAAGTAAAAGTGGCAGCTCTCTCACCACTTGATTCCAAACCGCTTTGCGCTGACCTCCTACTAGGCAGCAGTGCAAACTAATTACATACCCCGAAAGCTTTGATGCGGCGCGCGCGGATTTCCACGGCAAGTAATACTAAGAGTAAGAGTTAGACGTCTTGCGTCCTATGAGGCTATGGGAGTATCGTTTCCAGCACTCCGCACCGCGCCGGTGCTCACCGGAGACCGGATGAGCGGATGGAATTGAAGGACGCTAGCGTGCCGATAGAAACAAGCCTGAACTAAGATCAAGACGTCCAGCTGAATGACTGAGGGCCTGACAGTGAGGCTGAGGACATCTTCTAGCAAGAACTTCCGGTCGTCGCTCGCGGCGCAAGGGATATCACTTTACTTACTGTGAAAGACCAAACACTGATGTCCTTTTGTGTCTCTAAAACTGCACTCACGCTGGAGCGTAGAGGATCTATGACTATGGTATGGCTATGGCTCGGTGTAGTGGCAGAAAGAGACTTGGCTACTGTGCGTCCTGACTCAGACCTGAGCATGAGTAAACCCCTGTCTACTGTACACTGGAATCTACTACAGTAGTAGATCTACGTAAGTGCAGTTACGTGAACAAGACCTGAACTGAAGTGAAGGCTGAAGTCTACTACTTGAGCGTAGCCGTAGATCATGGTAGATCATGGTAGATCATGGTAGATCATGGTAGATCATGGTAGATGTACGAAGTCGAAGTGCTAGCGCTACACATAACTACTTTGAAGTCACGTCTTTATCACCAAGACAGCTAGTCTTTACTTAGTACTACATGTAGTACTAGTACTAGTAGTAGTAGATCTACGTGACAAAACATCCAGAGCTGTAGCTGAATGATAGATGCGTGAGGGAGAAGTACAAAATCTAGTCTGACATGTAAATCTGTCCTTGAACTGAAGTAGACAAGCCTTGTCTTTGTAGAGGAATGAATGTAGTTCGGCGCGGCCAGGGGCGAAAACGGGATTTTGTTTCGGCACTCATGCATAAAGATGTCACCTGCAAGGCTGCAGTGCAGCTTCCAGTTCCAGCGTTTGACTTTGACAACAAAAATCCCCTTTTCGCGCGGGATGCTGCGCACTCGTACTCGTAGAGGGTCTGTACTCGTCAGATCAATCATCAAGTCTTCATAGATTCTATCTTTCTGGATCCTGGATCATGGATCATGGGACGCGATATCATGGAGCAATGTTTTGTCTCGCCTTGTTGATGATACATTGTCCACACTTGGCGCTAGCACTTCATTGACTCTACGTTCTCGTCTTCAAGTCTTGTACATTCCCAGCAAGGTCCATTGTAGTCGAGTTTGTGTCTGCCTATTCCACCAAACCGAGCTTTATGCTCAAGCTTGAATGCAGTAAGGAAACCAAAAGGGATATTAGTGTTTTGGTCTTTGAATAAGTGATTTCCTTTGCGACACGACCCGAAATTCTTGCTGGAAGATGTCCCCAGCCTCAGGCCCCCAGTCGTTCAGCTGAACTTCTTCATCTCTTCAGTTTTAGTTTAGGCTTGTCTCTACCGAAACGCTAGCATCCTGCGATCCAGTCTGATCCGGTCTCCCGTGGGGAGTGGCTCTGGAAACCATAGACCGCTAATTTACCGTGTGAAACCCGTGCCGCATCAAAGCTTTCGGGGTAAGTTAGTTAATTTGCACCAGCTGCCTAGGACTCGAAGGAGGTCAGCGCAAAGGGGTTTGGACTTTGGGATCAAGTGATGCGAGAGCTGCAACTGGTTGCGTTTGGTCGGTGCCATTCCGCCACCATTCCAAAGTCATTCCGCCGTGTTTTGATTCCGGAGCCTTTGTTTGATGCACTGGACAGCGTTTGTTCGGTGCAATTCCGATTCCGGTCGCGGAATGAAGGGGGCGGAATCGATTCTGGCGATTCCTAAGAAAAAGTGGAATGAGGTCTCATTCCGAGCGGAATAAAAATGTGCGGAGCGGCTTCGTGAATTGATGAAGTTCGTTGTTGCTGCATACCTCCCCAACAAAACTTCAAACGTGATTATCGATATACAGAAATGTTGGCGGACATCGTCCAGGGTATAGGCTGGTACTGTAACCTCGGGGACGGCATAGTAACGTGTTCGTGGTACATGTATTTTGACACTTCGCTGCCTGAGAAAGTGTTCGCCCGGGATCGTTGATGAACTGGAAATATGCCCTCGCACCTCAGCTCTTCATCGTCGTCGGGCAGGGCCTCTAGAATCACAAGGAGGCGAGTCAGAACAAAGTGACCCAAAGAAGCACCGAGCCTGCCACTTCACTTCTTCTTACAACAGTGCCTCGTCTCTGTCAAATAAACACGAGAGCTAGAGACGTTTCTGTGACTGAGACGAGGTCGACCGGTCGTATAGCATGATGAAGTAGCGGCCAAACGCCGCCTGCAGGCACCCTTACGATCGCTCGTTGATCTACGCCGTGTTTGGCCGCTCCTTCATCATGACTGTCGTAGGGACATGCAGAAACTTACGGAAGCATAGCAACTACCAGGACTGGCATTTAGTAGTCTTCGTGAGGCTGCAATAGGGCTTGAAAGTGATGACGTCAAAACGGCCAGGGAGTAGTAAGTTGACATCAGATTTCTATTTTTGGATCCACTAAGGTGTGACTTTGTTATTGCCTAAGTATGTGGGTGCATAGCAACCCACTCATGTCGCATGCAGGTGTGACTTTTATTTCGCCACCAGCTGTAACCCCGCCCCCAGTAGCCAAATCAGTCAGTTTCACTGGTTACATCACCTTGCTGAGAGTAAGACGGCTTGAAATGTGCTTGGATCCATACAAAAACTGGATCCAAGTGGATCCAATTTTTGAATTTTTGAAATTGTTGCTATGCTGTGACGTAGCACTTTCAAGCCCTATTTGTGCAAACAACAGGTAATACGTTTCCAGAGTGGCGCAACACTTTTGCCAGATTCTCGAATCCATGCCAGCGCGTTTGTTTGCTACGCTCATTCCGATTCCACGATGGGTACCGACGTCATTCCATGCCCATTCGGGAATGACCGAACAAATGCAACTTTAGTAAATTACTTATGACCCTCGCTGTGTCCACTCCTTACCTAGGCCAATACGAACAACGCATTTTGCAAAACGTGTCTGGTTGGGGGGGGGGGGACTCTCACTATTCTTGGTCTATTGGCTAGGTCATTGTACGTGATATTCAAACTGAAGGAAACATCTTTGTAATACGGAGGATTGCGGCTACATCATATTGTTTTGCAAATACATTCCCAACATTTTTTCGATGAATTACTGGAGTTGAAAGTGCGATTTATACTCCCGAAAATACGGTACGGATTTTGATCGCAACAGCTTGTCAGTTATCTGATTTGCAAGTACTGTAGCCGTCGTCGTCGTTCAAAATATATCTTGCAAAAGAACGGCGACTGATTTGAACCAAACAGGCAGTCATGCTGCCCACGCGAAGTCCTGTAGAGAAGGCGACGGTCACGGTCGACTTCCCTTTAGAAAATAGCCAGGCAGCGGAGAGGAAGAGAGATGAGCTTGCGAAAGCAAGAGTGTCGATCCCGAGCAAAAAATATTTGTCACCAGCGCCGAGAGCAGCGATGAGGAGGTTCAAAAAAGTATGAACCCTTCATTGGACAATAAATTCGTCACGGCCAGTTGTCATTCTTTACCTTACCTTCCATCATACCAAGTTTTATCGTCTCAAGTGCACGCGTTGATGTCCAAAGTCTCAGTTCAAATTGTCGAAAGATAAGCGACAATATTGCTGACGCGGACCAAGTACTCACTTGTCGCTCTGTTCACTGTGTTTTGTTGCAGCTGCTGTGTCGGACATTCTCCACGGAGATATCTCCTGACCAGGGTAGGAAGATGGGAAACAACATCGTGCCTGGTAAGTTATTTTCTTCTTTATCAAGTGACAAGTGGAATCCGGATTAATGTAAAGGATTCCCGATTATATGACACACACGAATACAAGTCGCACACAATGATAAACCACACCCCCTCGTTCTTATCTGTGCCATGCTGTTCAGTATTAACAGTAGGATGTCACACTCCAATTTAAGGTCCAGCCCGTTCTTTGCCCGAGTAGTTTTGTAGGAAGGTGCAACTTATCAGGCGCGTAGCACCGCCGTTGGCGGTGGTCCGGCCAGGGGGGATCTTCCCCGCGGACCTTTTTTGAAATTAGGGTGCAAAATCCTGCATTCTGGGCACTTTTGCCATTGTTTTACTATGGTGGTCGTGGTCGGGCGAAAAAGTGGTCCGGCCAAAGCCGCTGCGGCTGCTACGCCCCTGATTATATTCGGGGGAAATAGGGGTACATTTTCAATGCCTGTTTTTGATTGCAATGTGATGGTGGCTGGTTTCTGCATACTATACCCCAGAGAGTACTAACATCACAATACACAACACGGGCGACAGGAATGAAGAACGGCATGGTTCTCCCTACAGGACTGGCGAATCGAGTCGCGCTCGGGGCAGGGTCGATTCAGAGCACGCTGGCACACTGCATCATTACTCTGGGCTGGGTTTGGGGCCAGCACGTCTAGGCAGAGACCATGGGTCACCCCAAACACCAAAATCCAGGGTCGGAACACACAGCGCTTGGGATTCCGTTGCCTCAAAATCCTAGTCCCACAGCTCTCGACGCTAGCTAACACTGCAGCCACAACAACAGATTTTTATGATCACGGGCTCTTTGGAAAGCTTGACCAGATGTAGGGGCAGAATAAATCGTGTCCTGTAGACTAAATGTTCTCCTCTCCGCCTCTGTGTCTTTGTGTGTGTGTGTGTGTGTGTGTGTGTGTGTGTGTGTGTGTGTGCGTGTGTGTTGGTTGGTTGGTTGGTTTAGCTGCCGCAGGCAATCCGTTTAACTCGCCCGAGTTCATTGCTGACATACATCCGTGGTTGCTGACTGTGGATGCCGACACGTTCAGGGAGACAGCACAGCAAAACCAGCTGCTACGCACCTTCGACATTGTCGCGGACCTGGAAGACACTCTGCAGCGGGAAGGTCGGAAAGCGCACAACAAGAAGCTGATTCAAGTCATCTCGACTGATGAACTGCATGGATACGAACGCTTGTGTTACGTCGTTGCCAAAATGGGCTACCATACCCGAGTGCACCAGATGCTGAACCAGCTTCCAGAGAGGAATCGACCGTTGATAGGCAAGTTGCAGTATTTTCTCTCAGTGCTCATAGTAACATGGAAATTGTGGGCACAAGTTATGCGATCGTGTCCACCAACTAAACCAGATTTTGAACAGTCAGACGTGCACAATCTAGCACGAAACTGACAAGGAGTACAGTCCACTGTGCGTACAACGACACTCGGCGGGACATCAGAAAAGTGTCCTTATTCGCGAAGTGTCCATATACCCGAAGTCTCATTATATGTATCACAGTTAGATGGGCCTTTGCTCTGGGCACGGAAATTCTATCGTTATTCGCGAATTGTCGTTATATCCGCAGTCGTTATTAGCAAAGTTGACTGTACTGAAACATTCCTTGGTTCACTATCTGAGTTCTCAGTGCTCATAGTGTTCATGAATATGCTTTACGTGTCCCTTATGGAACCCACAGTCAACTGGGAACTTGTGGCCAGGCACAAGTAAGGGGTACATGGATGCAGCTAATGGGGTTTCTCGGCACTTGTGCCAGTGGTTGTGAGACTGATCCACTCACCCCCACCGTTAGGCGCTGCATCTGCCGCTAGGGTTTACCGGGTGTTAGCGGCCGTCGTGAGTTCCCTTCGTGAACGGACACGATAATTATGTATGTGTCCCTTATGGACTATGGAGACATCTATGTCTGTCCATAATGTATCTTTCAATGAAACCCAACCAGAGGAGTCAACACTAGGCATCTTAATTGATGGCCATTCAAGGCTTTCCGGTAATTTCAATGTTTTCCGCCGGTACATCTGATCGAGATATGGTCAACTAGAAGGCCAAGTCTCGCCTCTCTGTGTTGTTGCGATGACAGCAGAATTTGTACTTTGGTTGAATGCCAAGTTGCCAACAGACAGCAATTGCGCTAAAATACAGCCGTGTTTGTACAGTATGTGCCTGGAATGTTTGAGAGAAAAGTCGTGTTCTCACCTCCCCCCCCCCCCATACACACAGTTGGTATATGAACAAACAAAAAAACATCCGTGCAAAATTGTGGACTCTCTTTGGGAGTCATTTTATATATGTATTTTATATACGTATGGCATTGTTACATTCGCCTCCTCTTGTATATTCCCCACAGATTTACCCAGCTCAGGTGACATGGCAACCACAAGCGTACGACGGCGAACCACAAGCGTACGACGGCGAACCCGGACAGGTGTGGACGGTGGCAATGGTGATAGTGATGGTAGATCAGAGTCACAGAGTGTGGATGGAAATGGTGAGGGACAAGGTTACAGTTCCATCTGTCCTCGTAGTCTATCAAAGTCTTGCTCTTTACGAGTCTTCTCTTCCTTATTGTTGTCTACCTCCCTCCCTCCCCCACCCACTGCCAATTACTATTCAGGTGATAAGAGTCATCTCTGGAATAGTGCTCTAAATCCAATAGTGCCCCATTCTCCAAAAAAATAAAAATTTCACGGTTCGCGTGAGACTCGGCTGGAAGCCCAGTTTTCCGCATCCGTCATGGGAACGCCACCACCCTCTAGGATCAAAGGCGAAAATGCAGCGCCTAAACGGTGGGAGGCGAGTAGATCAGACCCACCACCAAGTGGTCAAAGACCGAAATCCCATTAGCTACATCCATGTTACCCTCGTGCCAGGCCACAAGTTCCCAAATAACTGTGGGTCACAGCACGGCTGGAGAAATTCCTTCCGCTTCCAAGCACGACTTGAACCTGGTACCCTCTGTTTCTCAATCATGGTCTTAGACCAACCCACTATGCCTGCCTGCCAGTGAAAAAAAATCCCAGTTTCAAAAAAAAAGCCAGTGAAAAATAAAGCCCTCTCTTGAATAGTGCCCCACCCCCCCCCCCCCCGGGGTCTTATAACCAAGCGCATGTGCAAGTTTGGTGTTTTTTTGCTTATGTACATGCCCATACCATTGCATTGCATTGGTGGTTTCAGGATCAAAATCTCAGTTTCTATTGCCATTTCTGTTGACTTGTGATCGTCTGCAGTAAATATTAGGCTCTGTTTCTTTTCCTTCTTTGTTTTTCTGCTGGATGACATAAAGGTACCAGCATTGAGAAAAACAGCGCCCTCTCTTGAATACAGTCAACTTCGCTTATAACGACACTCGGCGGGGCATCAAAAAAGTGTCCTTATTCGCGAAGTGTCGTTATATCCGAAGTCTCATTATGTATTACAGTTGGAAGGGACTTTGCTCTGGGCATGGAAATGCTGTCGTTATTCGCGAATTGTCGTTATATCCGCAGTCGTTATTAGCGAAGTTGACTGTAGTACCCCATTTGTGATGGGATTTATAATAATAGTGCCCCATGGGGCACTAATCGCACGAGCATGGTATTTCTTTACCTCCAGTGTCCATGCCGAATGTTCCACTCTATACATTGTTGTTTTGGACTACCAGTATGTAAATTTGTGCGTGTGTTTGGCATGCATGTGTGAGCATGTGTGTGTTTGCATGTGTGCGTGTATGTGTGTGTGTGTGTGTGTTTGTTTATGTTTGTGTGTGTGTGTGTGTATTTGTGACACATGGAACAGCAGAAGATTGCCACGGAGCAGAAGATTGCCCCGGAGAAGAAGAGGGTCATGGAGCAGAAGAGAGGAATGAAACGGCTGTGGAGCATGAAACATCACCACCAGCTGAACCAGAGGCAGTACGGGCTCAGAGGCGCATACCATTCCTTGCAATGGTGGCAGGGCTGAGTGTTCTTATCATTGCTGTCATCAGTGTCTACTACGGTTTTAGCTCGCCAGGTAAGATCTAGTCTTTGTGCATCTAGCAGTCAACAAAGTGGCCTACATTTGTAACTGCTCGCTGCACGGTCTTAGTGTGATGCTTCTGTAGTTGATAGTTGCAACTTGTGACATGCCAGGTGCTCCAACGAGGACAGGTTGTCGAGGCAATTTAGTTTTCCAACCCAATTTTCCAAGAATTGCTTTCGTAAATGAAATGCTCCGGTGTTAAGCCAATAAATAAAAATAAAAATTCACGGTTCGCGCTGGACTAGGCTGGAGGCCGAGTCTTTCGCATCCGTAGGGACACCACCACCCGCTGCGGATCAAGGCACAGATGCAGCACTTAAAGAGGTGGGAGGTGAGTAGATTAGACCCACCACAAAGTGGTCAACGACCGAAATCCCATTCGCTGCATCCATGCTGCCATCGTACTGTGAGCCAATAGCATTCATGTGAAAGAGAAAAGACCAAACAGTTACGTGTTATGACTGACAGTCCACCGAGCTTCGTAGATATGTTGCAGCTAGGTGTTAGGTCATTGAATATCTGCAGTACTGCCGTCAGTGTTGTGCCTTGACTCACTATCTCACAGTATAGTATCCCGTTACCTTGGTGGAGGTGGATCTGATCTATCCTCCCCCACCGTTTAGGAGCCGCATCTGACACCTGATCACGGGGTGGTGGCGTCCCACGGAAGCGGAAAGGTGGTTCTTGACCAGGGAGTTGTATGACTCCTTGTTCTTGACCTGCCCGGTACGCGATTCCGTCAATTTTTATTTATTTTTTTGGTGGAGTGCTGGTCATAACTCGTAACGTATTGGTATTTCTCGTTAACTGTAATTTAATAGGATGATAAATAATTTTGAAACCCGCATGGTACTAGTGCGCCACGGTGACCGATTTGCCAGGGACATTTCTGTCCATTGGTTCACAAGCGGAAAGTGATCACACTACTCAGGACACAAGGGAATGTTGCTTAAGCAGCCAGCCAGCCAGCCAGCCAGCCAGCCAGCCAGCCAGCCAGCCAGGCAATACCAATAGAGTGGAGTGTTTTTTGGACTGAAGAGCAGATGATGTCTATTTTTAGGAGTGCAGGAGGGGAAGATGTGTGGGTGTTTTTGCTGCGGCATTTCCGGAGTATAAAAGCCGTGCTGTGCGGAGTATAAAATCCGTGCTGTGCGGAGTATAAAAGCCGTGCTGTGCTGGGCTGAGTGTAAGCAGAACCCAGATAATACTCCTAAAATTTGGCGGGTAAAGTAACTTAGAAGTGATCCACCTTCCTCTCTTCTTCCACCACCACCACCACCACCACCATACTGAGGTTGCGTTTGTTCGGTGCCATTCCGCCACCATTCCCAAAGTCATTTCGCCGTGTTTTGGTTCCGGAGCGTTTGTTTGATGCACGCGACAGCGTTTGTTCGGTGCAATTCCGATTCCGGTCGCGGAATGAAGGGGGCAGAATCGATTCTGGCGATTCCTAAGAAAAAGTGGAATGAGGTCTCATTCCGAGCGGAATGAAAATGCGCGGAGGGGCTTCGTGAAGGTCGTCGCTGCTGCATACCTCCCCAACAAACTTCAAACGTGATAATCGATATACAGAAATATTGACGGACATCGTCCAGGGTATAGGCTGGTACTGTAACCTCGGGGACGGCATAGTAACTTGTTCGTGGTATTTTGGCCCTTCGCTGCCTGAGAAAGTGTTCGCACGGGATCGTTGCTGAAATGGAAAGGAAATGTGCCTTGCACCTCAGCTCTTCATCGCCGTCGAGCAGGGCCTCTAGAATCACAGGGAGGCAAGCCAGAACTATTTTTCGAGCCCGACTATCCATAATGGCACAAAGTGACCCAAAGAGGCACCGAGCCTGCCACTTCACTTCTTCTTACAACAGTGCCTCGTCTCTGTCAAGCACACACGAGAGCTAGAGACATTTCTCTGACTGATACGAGGTCAAATAGCATGATGAAGGAGCGGCCAAACGCCGCCTGCAGGCACTCTGTAGTTCAGGGCGCTCGTTGATCTACGCCGTGTATGGCCGCTCCTTCATCATGACTGCCGTAGGGACATACAGAAACGTACGGACGCATAATTATAGCAACTACCAGGGCTGGCATGTAGTAGTTTTCGCAAGGCTGAAAACAACAGGTACATGAGGTAATACGTTTCCAGAGTGGCGCAACACTTTTGCCAGATTCTCGAATCCATGCCAGCGCGTTTGTTTGCTACGCTCGTTCCGATTCCGCGACGGGTACCGACGTCATTCCATGCCCATTCAGGAATGACCGAACAAATGCAACCTTAGCAAGACGCCAAGCTCTCTAGGAGTACTATAAAGCCGTAACATTTATTTGGAGGTTTATTTTCGGAAACGTTGGCGACGAAAACGACGAAGGAACGTTCAAGGAAATCTAACCTGTTCGAATCGTGCGTGCTTTGAATGCGCAACTTGCTTTACTTATTGCGTTAAAACTTCGGCACCGGGAGTTTTCACCGAAAATAGAACGCGGCATTAAATTCAACAATGCCATGCCACACTGTGTGCAAAATGCACTTAGGATCTGGAAAACTGGTTTACTGAAATTTTCGCGCTACCATTGGGCTTGTAGCCTGTGTGTACTTGTGAATTCAAATTAAAATATACATACATACATGACCTTGACCTTTACGCCCATCGCCGAAGGCGACGATAGCAATGCTACGGCAGAAGCCATAGCAACTTGTGCTGGGATTGCACCATTCAACAGCTTGCAAGGCTGAAGAATTGACCGCCACTATTCAGCCTGGTCTACACCATACAGCTATTTTGAAGTGACTTTTTCTGGCCAGTGAATCCCTATTTTTGGTCTTTTCATTTTTTTCCCGCGGCATGCACTGGCTGTTAGTAACCACCCAGGAGAAGGAAAGAAAAGTCAGGAAGAGTCTGAGAAAGAGAAGAAAGACGTGTGTGACCATAATCGCCGGGAATCGAACCCACAACCTATCGATTGGAAATCGCTGCACATACCACTGCACCATATGGGACACACATACATACATACATACATACATACATACATACATACATACATACATACATACATACATACATACATACATACATACATACATACAGTCATACATACCGTCATACATACATACCAAACCGTTGATGTTGGGAAATATATGTACCGAACATAAATATTACCCCACAATTCCCGGTTTTACAGTAACATTGATTTTCCTGGAGGGTCTAGACATTTCAGAATCTCATTGGAACTGTCTTCGCGAGTGTCGTGATATGCAAGTGAAATGGGTCAGCGTTGAGCAAATTATCGAGCCGTAAAGTGCCTGATTTAATTAAGAGTCAGGGTCGAATTTGTAACAAATTTATCTTTTGGTGCTTTTTCTTGTATTGTGTTTTTGGCTTCAGCTTTACCTGATTTGGGTCGTGCGGAAAAGCTGTTGAAGATTCGCTACTCCAAGGCCAATAACATCTACTCACCGATCCTTGGGGCCAGCACAGTAAACACTGTCGATAACATCTACATCAACCTTGTCATGCTGCCGAAGAAAAATCTAAGCGAAGAGTTCGAGAATGGATTTGAATCCAGCTCCGACGACATGTGGCGGACGGAGCATGCCTTCACTCGCGCAAGCCAGGAGATGCAAAGTGTTAACTTGGAGTCTCTTCTAAACAGCACCCATCATGAGCAATCACCGCATCCCACAGGTCAGACTTTCGGCACGATAGTCACGGCTAGTGCTGGGTGTGGGAAGTCATTTGTTTTTACGAGAGTCGCCCCGATCAAATGGGCAGCCGGTGAACTGTGGCCTGACAAGAAGCTGCTCGTTGCAAGAGAGTTGCGTTTCCCAGACGTGCACAAGGCTACATCCCTGAGTAAGCTACTTGGCCTAGACGGTATCGGTATTGAAGACAGCAATGCCCAGCAGGAGATCTGTGATCATGTTCGTGCACACCCAGAGAGTCTAGTGCTCATTCTAGATGGTCTTGATGAGGTGAACCTGAAAGACATGAGCAGTTTTGTCTATGATGTACTGTTTGGTGAGGAGCTGCAGGGGATTCATCTCATAGTAACATCTCGACCATGTGCCGATGTCTTCCAGTTGTCAGTATTACCTCACTTCCACCAACACATCGAGCTAATGGGATTCAGAGCAGATGATGTGGAGAGGTATATCCATAACGTGCTCAGCCCGGAGAAAGCAGGGGCACTGGTGGCAGAGGTTGATCGATCAGCATATCTACGCGGCATGATGGCGACCCCATTCATGGCACAGGAAGTGTGTATGCAGTATCACTTTGGCTTGGATGCACCGCAGTGCATGACAGACATGTTTGAGCAAATGATTGTGCAGATTATCAACCGGAAATACGCCCGCGCATACAAGCAGTGGAATGAAGTACCAGTTGAGGCACAACTGCTGGTGATGGAAATAGGAAAGTTTGCCTTCAATATGCTTGTCGAGAAGCGGATGATCTTCAGTGATGCCGATCTCCAGAAGCATTCTCTCAGTGAGCATGCCTACAAACTAGGCTTATTGGTGACAGGCGAGGAATCTCTATCAAGGGATATGTTCAAGCAACATCGGTTCAGCCATCTTACCACTCAGGAGTACCTAGCAGCTATGTACCTTGCCAGACACCCTCTGCACAATGTCATGAGCAATTCTAGTATTATTCGACTGGTGGAAATCCTCGGCGCAGAAACGGCACATTTGAGAACATTCTGGGCTATGTTTTGTGCTCAGCTGACTGCAACACAAGCCGAATACCTCGTAAACTCGTTATTAACACGAAGAAAGGTACAGAAGCCAGAAGGAGAGATCGTGGATTTTCTTTTTTATTCTACGCCTATTTCCAACAGTATGGACTTGGTTCAGTTACCCGACCTTTCTGCATATTTCAAGCAGGGAAAAGTGGAAAGAGCATATCTTCAGGGTCTCGCATTTCACTCCTTCGCCGAGCTGGTGGTGCATCAGAAAGGTGTCAACACATCACTGCCGTCAATACGCGCATTGCTGGTATCGAACCAAGGTGTGAGATTTACCATGGATCAACAACCTGCGGAGCAGCGATCGATTGACATGATCCTTCACCATCACCCGCAAGACGTTCGGAAGGTGACCATACTTGTACATTTTTGGATTCCGACCCTCATCGTTTACTTCCCAATGTCATTGGCGAAATGCAGTGGTTTGCGAGTGTTGTCAATCAATCTCATCAATGTGCCTAGTGCCCTGGCTACTGTCACCTCTGCTGTACAGCATTCTGCCAGAAATCTACAAGAGCTGAATCTGTATTGGACTCCGGTTTCTGCCTCTTTGTTAACTGCACTTTCATCATGTCACCGACTTCAAGATCTCCAACTCACATATAGCAGTCGGATGGACACAAGGGTAAGTGCTTTGGCTAGTGCATTTTCCAATCTCACAGCCCTTGAAAATTTCGAACTGGAAAGTGATTGTGGCCTTGAAAGTGATGCGGTGGCTGAAATCTCCCGCGCACTTCACCGTAGTAGTAAGTTATCCAGTGTTTGCTTTAGGGATTGCGGCTTGACAGCATCGGTGCTTCCTGCCTTCACAACAGCCCTGCAGTACTGGAAACGCCTGAGGAGCTTGAAGCTCATCCACAACAACTTCAGTGATACTGGCTCAATCGTAGCTTCTCGGTTTTTCTCTGCGATTTCAAAACTCCCAGATTTGCATGGTATTGGCCTTTACAATTGCAGTTTGCCTGAAAGTACTGGCTTTGCCATTGCGACTGAGCTGTATAACATTAGCACAATGCAATTTTTGACCTTATCAAATAATCCCAGTCTAGGCAACAAGGCTGTTGTAGCCATTTTGCATGCACTAAGCCAATGCAAAAAAATGTTCGCAGTTCGTCTGGAGAACTGTGGTCTGACGGCCGCATCGTTGCCAGCTATTACCACTGCTCTGCAGAGGTGGCCGAAGCTGACATGGTTGCAGCTTCATGACAACGACTTTAGTGCGGTCACAGCCGAACAGACCAATGACTTCATTGCCGCTGCCAACGCCCATAAGAAACTTACTTCTTTGACGCTACGCAAAGGAGGCATGCCTCCCTCTGGTAGACCAGCTTTTAATATACTGATGTCCGATGACTCGTATCGTTTGGTCGACAGTGTAGATTGCCTGCAGGAGTAACGACTCTCCTCTCTCTCTCTCTCTCTCTCTCTCTCTCTCTCCATTGGAGTGAGAAAGGTTTTCATTGAGCGGCTTGCTGTGAGAGGAGGACTGAGACTTGCCGGCACTAACGGCAAATTGCCAAAAAGACCTCGCGGCCATGGAGCTTCGGGACTCATTCTTTTCTGAAGTGCACGCGCTGAGCTGAAGCTGAATTTGTACCTGCTGTTTACTCCACACAACACCAGTGTTATGATTATTCACAGGACTTTGTGCATATTTACCTCCAAATTATGTTCCGTGAACGACTACGTCAGTGCCTAGTAGTAACTTTTTTCCCCAATAGCTCCGGAGAAGTGTTTTCATTTTTTTTAATTGGCCTCACCCACCACACTTATGCCAGTTTATCTGTGTACAAGTACTGAAGTAAGTGGTAATGGTGACTGTAGGCTTTGGAACTGTTCGCTTCTCTTCCAGCAGCAGAACCAGATGCTAAGGATCATATTTCCTTGACTCTCTTGCCTACCTTTTTCCATAGTAAAATTATGCACATCGGTTTTAGACATTTGCTGCCTGCAATTTTCTAGTAAAATTATGCACTTGAGGGTTTACATGGCTGTCACCGTCATCGCTACTGTGGCATAGATGTACATGTATGACGTATTACAAACACGCCGTCTGATGAGTGTTTTTAAATCATGGAACTTTAACTCGGAGTCACGATAACGATCTTGGTCCCGGTTGCTCTGCCTTGCGTAATACGCTCTGCCTTGCGTAATACTAATACGCTCTGCCCTTGTTAGGAGATTGAGCACTATTTGCGGCACGGTTCTGATGCACTATATGTATCACATATTATACCTGTATCCATTTGTGGAAAGGATAAAAGACCAAGGAACTACAAGTTACGCTTTAATGCCCATTAACACCACCAGTTACTAAAGTAAACAATCAGCTCATGCGATAACATTGCACGACACTGACCGACGGTGCTGACGTTCTGCAAATTTCACTCAAATCCATTGACAGACACCAAAGTAACGGTCAATTCAATGCCATATGAAATTTAGGACCAGGCTTTAAGCCTCTTTCACATTCGACAGGGCGTGAAGGGAAGCGACGTGAGGATCGATGGGAAGCGACGGGACGGTCCGTTGGCGTCCAATGTGAACATCAGGAACGGGAACGCAACCGTACTACCGTACAGATCTGGAAGCGACGGGAAGAGTTGGATCGATCCAACTGTCCATACCGTAGACGGGGACGCAAGCGTACAAAACGGCTGCAATTCGAGTGTGAACAGGAGACGGTGTCGTGCGCCGACTACTCCTGATTCGTACTTGGAAATTTTTGGCATTTCGAACACTGGGCTTCCCATGATAACTAACAGAATGGTCAGCACGACGTGAGTTAAATTTTAGCAAGATAAGATCTCATGTCACTTATTGTGTTTAGGGATTGTTCAGGAGCGTGACAGACGAACTATTCTATCATTTCCCGGGGCTATTATTTGAATGCCACAACTTCAAGTTCAGGGCTAATTTTTGGGTCTTCATGAAAAACTGCTATTGTCAACTTGATTCCGCTTCTTTGAAGGAGAAATAGTTGAAAGGAAGTCCCGAAAAACGAGAAATTAGATCCGAAAGTCACCCCGTCACGGGCGTACCTTATGACTCGCGCCGTTCGACGTTGAACATCGCAACGACTGCTGCATGTCGTGTCGTACGAGTCGTACAGGATTTTGCAGCTCACCCCAGCCTTCCCGACAGGCCCTTACGTGCCGTACCGTCAGCGTTGCGTCGAATGTGAACTAGGCTTAATCCTAAATTTCATATGGCATTCAATTGACCGTAACTTTGGTGTCTCTCAATGGATTTGAGTGAAATTTGCACCACACACTCCTGCCACTATGCTGGCCCTCTGGACATGATTTAAAAGTTCGTGCGCCTCACTGACAGGCTTTCCATGCCGGAAAAACTCAAAATTCCAGCATAGTGCCACGGTTGGCGAGCCACCCAGGAGCCAAACAAATACATTTACAATTTCTTCACATTTTCTAGCCAATTCTGTCCGTGCGCAGGATCCCAACCTAAAAAACGTCCAGAAGCAGCCATGGGTGGTGGGATAAGGCCCTTCAACGTGGCCCTGGAATCTGTCACAACGGCAGGAGTGGGCGTTCTGTTACAGACTCCCACAGACCCAAGTCAATTTTTGAATTTTTTTAGGTTCAGGGCGTGCTACGAGGTCGTACCTTTGATACAACATCCAGTGCTGGGACCTCCACAGCAAGCCATTTCCACAGCGCTTCAAACCGAATCCAGGATACCCTCCAAAATCGGCAAAGACTACCTACCACTCACGATCACGTTCCACTACTGCCTAATCCTACCTGACTTTTTGACACGACTCAAACTTGCCAAAGTCACTAAATCAACGTCAACTACAATATTCAATAATCAAGCCACATATGTGCACTGTCACGAGGGTGCTGGCAAAAGTCCTGCTGCACGTGGTTTTTAACGTGATTTTTGGACTTTTTTGGACTTGGAGCAAAATTCTGCACACTTTCGCGTGTTTCCATGGTACGACAAGTTGCGCATGGTCTGCTCACATTCAAATACAGTGCTGCTAACAAATAACAGCGTGCAACAAAAAATTCTTTCCTTGCAAGGGCACATTTTCGGCCATAACTCTTGAACGGCTGGTCAGATCGGGACACAATTTTCAGAGAATTTGCAGCTATTCATGCTCTTTCAACTGACGTAGCACTAAATATGAATTTACAAATTCGATTTTCAGCGAATTTTTGGGTAGTCTGCCACCTTAAGTGTTGCTGACGGCCGAATGCATGGTTGCCTGTGGAGCACATTACATAACTTTACAGTCTCCTATAATACGCATCCTGTCCGACGGCAAAAGAGTCTGCGGATTTAGTTTTTCTGCACGTTATCAGCAATGCAGGACTGCTGGTCTTCATGAACTTGGGTCTCCTGTAACGCGCATCCTATCTATGCTTTCGTAATGCTAACATAATGCTCGGGATAGCACTCGCTACTGATCTTCAGAAACTTGGCCTGACTATCAACCACAATATCACTGTTGTAATGTTCATCGTTCCCAAGCGGTCGCTGGTTTCTCCCTCAATTTCATCGTACTGTTGTACGACATGCTATACGACATCCTTATACCGTACAACACCGTATTGATGTCTGGCGCGCGCTGTCGCCTTCATCTAGTGTAGTAGAATTTACTTCGAAGTATTATTTTACTAGGGAACTCCCAACAGGCGTTACCTTTTTTACTGGGAACCCTAAGAATGACTTGGTGCTTGTGACAAATGCAGAAAGGGGCTTAGCTTGACGACATCCAGGTGGAAGCATGTTCCATCTGACTGCTCCCAAAAATGAAATGGCATTCAGGCCGTAACGAGACGTAGCTCTGGGTAGGTTCAGAGCGGCTGAAGCTTGACCACGGGTAGCAGCATTTGTGCGGCATGATGCAGAGCGGGGGGTAAATATCGTGCAAAAAGAGGACTGGTGCAACGAGATAGACACCTAAAAGCAAACACAAACAGCTTCATGTTTACACGGCGAGAGAAAGTATACAGGTTATATTTGGTGAGAATGAAATCGATAGAGGTGTACTGATGACCATGCACCGTAGGAAGATGGAGAGATTTATGGAACAGAGAGACTTTTGCTCCCCGAGCTTGTGTATGTAAAATAGTATTTTACGTCGACCATGACGGCTCGCTTTGAATTGCAGAACGGCTGGTCCGATACGAACTCTAAAACCAGAAAAATATTAATTGCTACAATTCCCAACCCTACCACAAAGAACTGATCGGCTACATCATTGTATTGCAAAACGTTTCGATCTGTTCAAACAACATTCATGATGAGCTAGGCAAAAATGCATAGCGTAGGGCTCTGAGCGAAAGAAATGAACTTTCTCTTTGCCTTCGAGGGTAATACGACACCGTCGACTCTGCAACTTGATGACCTAGGCCAAAAAATAGGGATGTTATAAATTGTTCATTTCTCCTATTAAATGTTATGACAACCTAGGATTCGAACCCGCCCTGCATGTATCCCCCCCCCCCCCAATACACTTCGCATACATACTCATTCTTCCAAGTTGCTTCACGTTATCATTGTATTCCAAAAAGTTTCCATCTGTTCCAATAATAGGCAAAAAAGCATAGCGTAGGGCCCTGAGCGAAAGAAATAAACTTTCTCTTGTCATTCGAGCTGGTTATACGACACCGTCTGCCACCTGATGACCTAGGCAAAAAAGCATTGAGATGTTATAAATTTTTCTTTTCTCCTATTTTTCAGGCAGCATGTGTGTTGACAGAGAACCACCAAACATCTTACAACTAATGTACGTTGGCAGAGGGCAGGATCTCGAACATCTTGGTTCCATCCACTCCACAGCGTCATTAGCAAGTGCTCATACTAAAGAATCTAGGAACTGCGTGTTTCTCGCACCTTTTGAGGCTTCTGCTGGAGCAGACGGCACGCTAGGTCACCGAGCAAGCGGGAAGAGCACGGTTTATGAGACGCCTTGTACAGGTAGACTCCCTCTAATTCGAACCTCAAATTGCCAGGCCCTAAATTCGAATTATCCGGAACTTCTAATTATCCAAATGCAGTCCCATGTACTGATATGTATGTCAAAATGCTCGAAATTGCGTGCTGATTATTCTTGCACATTTTATTTGCATCAACGAAACATAGGTGGTCATGAACAACGAAATCAGTTCATTTTACCAAAACACTGGATCGACATGAAGTCATTGGACATTATTTTCATCTTCTACGAAGTTCTAGTGAATCAGTTTTCAATCGCTGCAGTTGTCCTGAAACGATTTCAACGCAAAAGAACAGCGCTGCCTTCTCTGTCGTCATGAAAGCCCGTTGGAGAGCAGCACCTCGTTCTGAAGAACGAAAGTGGAGCATAGGCATAGGCAATTTTTACGACTTCCAGTTGTTGTTCAGTCCTAAACTTCTTTGCGCATGAGTTGGCGCGGCATGACAAGCCATTGAGATCCGCGAAGGGAGCCAACCACCTGGAAGAAGTCGTCTTCAATCAAATCTTTGCACTTTGCCTTGCACAGGCTTGGATCAAATTTCGAGAGAAGGTGGGTTTCTTCAACGCTATTGTCGATCCTGGAGCGGACCAGGGATCAATTTTTGAGTTACTCTTGGCTAGAGAAGGAGAAAAAATGAACTTCGAATTACGAGTAGAGTAACTCCAACTCGCTTCAAAATAAGCGCTCGAAGGACATAGTCACTGTACTGTAAACTGCCTAACACCTGAAGCGAAGAGGACGTTCTATTTATCCATTGTGCAATCGACTCTCGACTATGCCAGTAACGCTTATCTGCACTGTCTCAGCGCCACCCTGTTCAATAAAATCGTGACGGTCAGTCACATAGCAATGAAGAAAGTTTTTGGGTTTGACCGTATGATGTCTACTGAAATTGTTCTCCGCAAATATCATCTCTATTCTTTTGAACAGCGCACAAATCTTAAACTCTATGTTTTCGTGTACCGCTGCTTGACCCCACATCTTGCTAGTCCCCTTCTCCA